CTGCAGAGGTCTGGCCTCATTGCAGACCTCCATGCTTTCTGCCAGGCGCACAACTGTGATGTCCTGGTCGCCATGACTATCTTTTTCAACACTCACAATGAACCAGTGCGGCAGCTGGCTATTTTCTGTCCCCATGCAGCGCTCCGAATGATGGTGAGTCTCTGTCTCTTCTCCAGCCTGAGGTCCCTACAGAGCTCTGCTTGTGAGCACTGCCCAGTGCTGTAAAGACCTCTGCTTGGTTTTTGTGTTTACACAGAAGTCCTTTGACCTCTTTCCAGAATCCTCCCTCCCTGCCCTTCCCCATTCTCTCTATATGTGAATAGCCTTAGTCATACTGTTAAGAGAGATTCAAAGGGAATTAGAGACACAGTTCCCACTTAGAAGGACCTTGAGATCAGATTAAAAGACAGTGTTATAAATCTGGAGTTAAAATTCGATTCTTAGCCTAATCTTTAATCTTCACCCCAGAAAATCAGTTCCTTCCTTTTTACCCTATGGCCTTGAAAATGGGAAACTCAAGAGAAGCCTGTTCTACTACTTAACCGTGCAGCGATGAATGACAGTGTCTAATGCTAATTCTGTAGAAAAGGGATTGAAGCACAGGTGTTCCTTCCTGATCTGTTTGGCCACCTTTCCCACTTCTTCCCCTTTCTTTTCCTCTGTTGGTTACTGGGCAATTAGCCCAGGGAAGAAGAATTTAAAAGTGGACGCGAGGGGAACCTGGGTGGCTCAGTTGGTTGGGCGTCCGACTTCAGCTCAGGTCATGATCTCACGGTCCGTGAGTTCAAGCCCCACATGAGGCTCCGTGCTGACAGCTCAGAGCCTGGAGCCTGCTTCAGATTCTGTGTCTCCTCCTCTCTCTGCCCCTCCCCTCCTCATGCTCTGTCTCTCTCTGTCTCTGTCTCTCTCTCAAAAATAACATTTAAAAATTAAAAAAAAAAAAAGTGGATGTGAGTCAGTCCAGGGACTTTGGGGTTTATTGGGCTACGTGAAGGCTGCTAAAGACTGGTCTGCATACAGCCTGATAATCTTTTGCATCCATGGAAGGTATGTCACCCTTCCTTCTCTTCCACAAAGCAAATGTGATTTCATTCAGTGGAAGGTAGTTTGGCACTGTGGAAAGTAGTAGTTTTTGTGTTTTTGGTTTTTTTTTTTAATGTTTTATTTTTTGAGAGAATATGAGCAGGGGAGGGGCAGAGAAAGAGGGAAACACAGAATCCAAAGCAGACTCAACTGACTGAGCCATCCAGGTACCCCAGAACTACAGTTTTAAAAGGCAGATGGACACGTTTTCTGTCCCAGATTTGCCACTTACCTGCTCTCTGAGCTCAGGCAAGTCAGTTGACTTCTGAATCTGTACGTGGCATAGTATTACCCACTGATTAGCCTGATGTGCTCATTAAACCTAATATCGTACGTAAAGTACATTGCTGGGCACAGAGTAAGCACTGAATAAATGGTGGCTCTCACTAATCGTGTCCAGAAGGAAAGGGTGCTTTGGCCATGGGAAGTGTCTCTCCCACCTTCCTAAGTGTCCCCACCTTCCCCCCCCCACCACACCCTTGCAAAGTTCTGCAGATAACAGAGGGTTCCCCCACTGTCCAGGCTGCCTCTGCACTGGGAAATGGGAAAGAGGTTTCACAGCGTGTCCTGCCATTTCGTCTCTTCCTCCTCTGTTGGAAACGATAGAAGAGAGTGGTTTAGAATACTGGTTTTGGTGGCAGACCTGGCTTCAAGTGTCAGTTTTGCTTCATTCAAACTATGACCTTAGGCAAGTTACTTCATCTAAGCCTCTGTTTCCCTACCTGTGAATGAAGGTAATACTAATCCAAATTTTAGAGGGTAGTTGTGACGATTAAATGAGGTAATATGTGGAAGTGGTCAGGCTCAGCACCACGTCTGATGTACCTCCCACCCCCACTTTGATCTATTCATTCTTTCTGCCTCTGTCTTGCCCCTGACCTCAGTCTACATGTGTGTCCCATTCTAGCTAAGGATAGAGTTCAAGTTTTTGAGCACAGATATACACTTGGAAACAGCACTAGGTCAGGGGGTCCTGGGTTCTGGTTCAGACTCCCATCATCTACGTGCTTTTGCTCAAGATGCTTAATCTCTCCAGGCTTGGGTTTACAAAAATTAAATATATGATCTCAATTGGGGTGCCTGGGTTGCTCAGTCGGTTAAGCGTCCTATTTCAGCTCACATCCTGATCTCGCAGTTCATGGGTTCGAGCCCCGTGTCTGGCTCTGGGCTGATGGCTCAGAGCCTGGAGCCTGCTTCGGATTCTGTCTCCCTCTCTCTCTGCTCCTCCCCCACTCACATTCTGTCTCTCTCTCTCTCTCTCTCTGTGTCTGTCTTAAAAATAAACATCAAATGTTTCTTCTGTTTCTAAATACTATATGTATTCGCAGTAATACTGAACTCTGGCTGATTTAATCAAAAATGTTTCTCCTTCTATAAGGAAAGCCTCTAACTTAAGAGACCCCAGCTGTTTGCTTCACCACCTCACGTACCATCTCCCCATCTTGTCTCCTCTTTAGATCTGTGGAGTTCTGGAATGCTCCCACTCTCCGTCCCTGAAGCTGACCCCTGCCCCAAGCACCCACCCTAACCTCCAGGCCTATCTTCAGGGCAACACCCAGGTATCTCGGAAGAAACTTCTGCCTCTGCTCCAGGAGGCCCTGTCAGCATATTCTGACTCTGTGAAGATCCCGTCAGGGCAGCCCGAGACCGAGGGTGTGTGCAGGGAGCAGGCGGACAAGGACTTGGACAGGGCGGGGAGCTCCCTGGTGCCTGGACTGAGTCAAGATGAGGAGGAGCCTCCACTGCCCCCCACGCCCATGAACAGCCTCGTGGACGAATGCCCCCTGGATCAGGGGCTGCCAAAACTCTCAGCTGAGGCCATCTTCGAGAAGTGCAGTCAGATCTCACTGTCACAGTCGACTGCTGCCTCACTGTCTCAGAAGTGACTGCTGGGGGCGGTCAGGGTAGGGAGGGCGGTTGCTCAAACCACCTCAGTTGCACGTGTTGAGATGTGTCAGCAGTTCTGACTTCGGTGCTCTGGGGTCTGGTGTACTGTTTTCGTGAACCTGGGAGGAGAAAGAAGTGAAAGAAAACAGTTGCTTGAGGGATGGCTTTTGGCCTTTTCTCCAGATCTCTACCCATTAGACAGATTATATTATTTAATTTAATTCTCCAAATCTGCACTGACTCTCCTCTGTTTCGTTGGCCAGGGGCACAAGGTAGTACCTGCATAGCTGCGGCAGAGCGGCACAGGAAAGCATACCCCAGCAGTGCCCTCAGTAAGGCTCTTCAACAGAACCGGTATCTCTCATGAAACCAAGCAATCATTGTCTCCTTGTATTCATTTATTCTCTTATTCATTCAGGTATTTATTGGTTACCTCCTTTCAGCTAGATAGAAGAGAGAGTGTGCTTTTGGAAACTTCTCTTGCTGTTTTCAGCCTTCAGCAGAATCCGGCCCCATGATTCCTCTTTCTGCCCCCAGTTAAGTGGTGGTGTCTAAGGCCGAGGTGGCCACAGTTGTGTTCTGAGCTCATTCTGACTCTTTTAGGATTGTTGGGAGGCCATTATCTTCTGTCCTGGTCAGCTGGCCTGGCTCTCAGTTTCTGGGATACCCCAGAGCCACAGGGACCCTGAAAAGACCCAGAAGACCCCTGGTTCTTGAGAGTTCAGGAGACACCCAGGAAGGCCTTAAGACCACAGAGGCACTCTTCCCAAAAGACAGCAAAAGTGCAGTGAGAGCCCCGGCTCTATGCCCTGCTTTGGTGGCCCCAAATTCCTTGTCCATCTCGTTCTCTTCTTGTTCATATCGAAGGGAACATGGAGTTCTAATACTGAGTGCTGTGAACTATGTCTCTCTTGGCAAGACCCTTCATTTCTCTAGGTCTCATTTTCCCCATCCGTAAGACCAAGGGTCTGGACTAGATGTTCTCTGGTATTCTGGGATCTGCCTCTTTTGCCATCTCTCCCCTGCTTCTGTGTGTGTGTGTGTGTGTGTGTGTGTGTGTGTGTGTGTGTGTGTATTTTATTTCTGTTTTCCCTGGGAAAGCTCAGGGTGGGTGAATTGTATTTATATGTGATTGTACCAAGGGACTCAGCCTCATGTAGCATGTACAGGGGTGTGATTCATACCATAGTGACCCACAGAGCACTCCCCCACTGACTCGTTCTGCATGTGTAGAGTCTCCCTTTTGCCTTCAGACCAACCTGCTCCCCTTTTTCCTACCCCACGGCCCTATTCCATGTAAGTTGCCAGTGGTTCCACCGAACAGTGGGATGTGTGACAGTTTTGGCATGACGTCTTCAGTAAGAGGGGGATGATGTGACTTCGCTTTAGGGGATGATGTCTGTAGCCATTGGAAGGTAAAAACAGTTGTGTGATTTCTGAACCAAAGGAATTTATGTTTTGTAACTCGGGTACCTTATTTTGCATTTTGTTAAAGTATTAAATACTTTTTTTTTTCCTGTTTGGGGTCTCATTGTCTCTTTTTATAACTGTAATCAGGCCCTTCCCTCTGATAATGGTTTCAGTCTCCTCAAGACGCATCTCCCTTCTTCTTGCTCTGGGGGATGGTTCCCTTCATTAACTCTTTTTGGGAATGAGGAGTTACAGCCTTCTATCTCTCCTTATCCTCAGCCTTTCATTTGTTTCTTCTTCTAGAACCCAGAACGCTCTTAAAGATGGCTTTCCCAATCTTGCTTATGCTCAAAAAGTGGGGCCAAGATAGTCTCAAAACCAAAATATTTTTTTACCACTGTCTTTTGCTTTTTGGTTTTTTTTATTTTTTTTGTTTAAAGAGCAGCCTCCAGGTGGCTCGGTCGCTTAAGGTCCAGCTCTTGATTCGGCTCAGGTCATGATCTCATGGTTTGTGAGACTGAGCCCCATGTCGGGCTCTGCACTCACTCTGCAAGAGCCTGCTTGGGCTTCTCTCTCTCCCTCTCTCTCTGCCCCTCCCCTGCTTGCTCTCTGTCTCTCTCAAAATAAATAAGTTTAAAAAAAAATAAAGAGTAGCTTCCAGAAGATTATGAGGAGTCTGGAAGGGAAAACAAATTGCCTTCCTTGACTCCCCTGAGACTAGCCATTTTAGAATATGTTCTCTCCTCCAAAGCCCGCCCCCACATAGGCAGGGTTTTTCTCTTGGGCAAACCTGTTCCTTGGGAAGGGAAAGGGAGGTGGCAAAACCTGTTTGAAGGCGAGGTTGCCTTCCTTGGAGGCAGGAGCATCTAGCAGTGAGACAGAGAAGGCCACGAAAGTTCTGGGGAGCCAGGACAACCCACTCTCAAGACAGCTGCAAGCATTTAAGGGAGACAGACCAACGTGGCAAGATGGGGACTACACAAGAGGTGGGAGAAAAGACGTTAGACCTTGGGTAAGTAAGATCTGGCCCACTGGATTGGAAACGAGCAATGAATAGTTGTGAGCTCTGACCAGGGCAAATCTTGGCTTCCTGGAAGAGACCCGACTTCAAGAAAAGGAATTTGCAGAGGAGTAGGGTGGCTTCAGGTAGAAAATGAGGAACTGGGGGTTCAGGATAATCCCCTATTGTGTTGTATCTGATAAAACTGCCCGTTGGGGGGCCTGGGTGCCTCAGTCAGTTAAACGCCTGACTCTTGGTTTCGGCTCAGGTCATGATCTCATGGTTCGTGGGTTCAAGCCCCACATCTGGCTCCGTGCTAATGGTGTGGACCTGCTTGGGATTCTTTCTCTGTCCCTCTCCTGCTCGCTGTCTCTCTCTCTCTCAAAATAAGCTTAAAAGAGAAGGAAGGAAGGAAGGAAGGAAGGAAAGAAAGAAAGAAAGAAAGAAAGAAAGAAAGAAAGAAAGAGAAAGAAAGAAAGAAAGAAAGAAAGAAAGAAAGAAAGAAAGAAAGAAAGAAAGAAAGAAAGAAAAGCCTGCCTGTTGTGTTTTCTAATATCCACTCCCCAGAATGGCCCTCAGGAAAGCTGACCCAGAAAGAAGCTGAGGTCCAGGTACTCCTTCCCAGCAAATCTTCCTCCTTACCTTCTTCCCCCACCCCTCCACCTCTGCCAGGCTTTGCCCTGACCACTCCCCAGCATCAGGCCTGACGAGGTGCCATCATCCCCAGCCCTGCCTGGTGACAGCTGGGCGGGTCTGTCAAGTTCCACCCAATCGTATGTAACAAGGAATATCTTCACCACTCTCGTGTAGGTAGAGCAAGGCCACAGAGTTAAATACGATGATACGTTTAGCTTTACATTCCACCCTCCCTGGGCTCTGAAAACCCCACCGTGGGGGTGATCTGTTTCCAGGAAGGGGTGGAGGTAGTAGAAGTATCCAGAAGATAAGAGATCTGAGGGTTTTCTTAAGGCCTGCTCTCTGCTCTGTACCTTAATTACTATTCATTCCAGTGTCTCCTACCTACGATCCAGTTCCCTGAAGACACTGCCGAGTTTGTCTCACGATCACCTCTTCTCCCCTGGGACTCTTAGGGCTGGGGAGAATGCTGAAGCAGGGCCAGCAGCACCCCTGAGACTCGGGGAGCTGGAGCTGAAGGAAGAGTGGCAGGATGAGGGATTCCCCAGGTGAGGACTTTAAGGGATGTTCCTTAGGACTTGAAGGAAGGAGCGGGGGAGGGAGGCAGAGGTGAGAAAATCATCGTGGCAGGGCAAGAGGACTGATAAACTGATACCTGGCTCGATGCGGTTACCCTCATTTCTGCTCCCCCTTGGAATCTTTCCCCTCTAGACTTCTTCCTGAAGAAGTTGACCGTTCTGAAGATCCTGAGGATCCCAAGAGAGACTCACAGGCAGGTTGGTAAATTAGAACATAGGTCTCGGGGCCCCTGGGTGGCTCAGTCAGTTGAGTGTCCAACTTCGGCTCAGGTCATGATCTCACAGCTCATGAGTTCAGGCCCCGTGTCGGGATTTGTGCTGACAGCTGGGAGCCTAGAGCCTGCTTCGGATTCTGTGTCTTCCTCTCTCTCTGCCCCTCCTCCACTCACGCTCTCTCTCAAAAATAAATAAACATTAAAAAAAAAAAAAAAGTAGGCCTCAAGTTCTTGATTCTAGCCCAGACTGCTGCCCTCATCCCATCACAGTTCTACTTCTCTTTTCCCCAATGTCCCATGTTAGTACTTCTTTAGAATTTACCCCATCTCACTACTTCTATATGCAGGAATTCCATCTCTTCTTGCCAACACACACATACTTTTTTATTCTTTTCTCCTTTTTTCCAATCCCAGGTACACCAAGCACTTTAGCCCTGTGTAGCCCACGCCCCATGCGTAAGCGTCTCTCTGCCCCAGAGTTGCAGCTGAATCTGACTAAGGAGACTGGAGGCCGTGGAGCTTCTCCCACTCATTCCGAACCTTCCTCTCCTGATGGCAGTTCTGACCTGGAGGTAGACGAACTGGAGACACCTTCAGACTCGGAGCAGCTGGACAGTGGACATGAATTTGAATGGGAAGGTGGGAAAGAAACCTGAGGCTGGAGCTGGTAGGAGTAGAAGCTAGAGTTAAAGCAGCTCAGGATGGATTTAATCAGACTAAAGTTAGAAGCAATAATGTGGGGACCAAGTGATAAGGTCAGCAAAATTACTTTCCTCAGAACAGAAAGCTAGAGCCTATAGATCCCATGCGAGAGTCATCAGTAGAGGGGTGGGGAGGGTCCTTTGTTTATTAAGGAAAATTTTATCCGGTGAGTGTTACATGCTATTACTGAGCAAGAACTGAGTTATAAAGATGAATAAGATAGTCCTATCCTCAGGGAATTCTCTGTTTAATAGGAAATTAAAATATACATATTTTATGCAAATAAATATAGTTAAGGATTATGGTCTACATATGTATAGGTTATGGTCAGCAGGGATGAGAACAAGGTCAATTCTTGCCTGAGAAACATTAGGAAAGACTTCACAGAGGAGGTGATTCTGAGCTGGCCTTTATCAGGTAGCTGGGGAGGCATTCTAGGTGGAAGAAACAAGTTGGGTAAGAACGTGGCATGTTGGAGAATTCAAAGTATTAAGCATGACTATTTTGATATTAAGGAAAACTTTGTTTCTTCTCTACTCACAACACTTCCGACACCAGATGTGTGGGTTTTCCCCACCCCAACCAATTCTCCACTTCTCCAGACATCAAAAGGGTGTCTTACAGTTCAGCCATGCTGCTTGACTGGAGTCAGCACAGACCCCACAGGTTAAGGGCTCCCCTACAGGATTGCCCTGGACTTCAGATGCCAACCACATGTCCAAATTGTCACTTGAGCTTCTGAATCAGAGTGCTATGTTAAGTTGGCAAGAGTCAAATCATGGAGGTCCTTGCTACCATACTGAGGAGTTTAGATTTTATCCTGTAGGCAATGAAAAGGCACTGAATGGTTTTAATCAAGGGAGTAACATGATCAGATTTGACGGCTCTAAAGAGGTTGGAAACAACCTAAAGGTCCATCAGTCGAGTATTAAATCTAATACGGTGTGTCCATGCAATGGAATACTAAATACTAGGCAACAATTTCTTAAGATGAAGCGGCTGTTTCCATTGCTATGGAAGGATCATGCAGAATTGCTGGATATGGTATATTGCCATTTGAATAAGAAAGGTAGGGTAGAAAACAAAGCTTGCTGTAGCAAGGGGGTAGAAGGTGGAATGAAGTAAACAAACTAGAGGCAAGGAGACCAGTTAAGAGGTTAGCACTAAAGCCAGGTGAGTAATGCTAAGAACCTGAATCAGGACAGCAATAGTGGAAAGAATAATAAGAGAATATAATGGAGATAGATGGAAGAAGATATGGGGTCCAGCTGGCTTGAGCACTGACAGAGAAGAAAATCTTGGATGACATCAGTTTTCTCTCTCAGGCAGCTAGATGGATGTAGTCATCAAGAAAGGAAATATGGCTGGGGCACCTGGGCGGCTCTGTTGATTGAGTGTCTGACTTTGGCTCAGGTCATGATCTTGCAGTTCATGAGTTCGAGCCCCACGTCAGCTTCACTGCTGTCAGCCTGTCAAAGCAGAGCCCACTTCAGATCATCTGTCCCTCTTTCTCTACCCATCCCCTACTTGTGCTCTCCCAAAAATAAGAAAAAAAAAAAAAAAAAAGGAAATATGGGAGAGAGGAGGAAGAGAATGAGTCTGACTTACAGCTGGGTCTGGTGACTTGAAGATGACACAAACTAGAGATGTCCACTCTAAGCGTTTGGGGACATGGGTCTGGAGTTAGGAGAGACGTGTGGGTTAGAGAGGCAAATTTGGAATCATCACCTTACTGGTGGTGATTGAAGACATGGGAAGAGATGAGCTCACCCAAGGAAAAGCATGGAAAGAAGAATCCGGAAAAAAACTAATACTGGCAAGGGCCATGGACCTACCATAGTGCAGGGTTACCTCAAGGCCAGTGTCTAGTGAAAAAGTGAGGATCATGAGTCACAGGAAATAGAAACCAGCAAGAGGTTGTATTGATTGGACAAACTAGGGCTGGAGTCCTGGAAAACACTGAGGAATGAGATGTTGGAGTAATCAACTCTAAGAACCTGGGGAAGTTACAAGACACTGAAGGTATGTACCGTGCCTTATGGACCCTTCCCCATCCCTCTCTTTTAGATGAGCTGCCCCGTGCAGAGGGTCTGGGGGCCAATGAAGCAGCAGAAAGGCTGGGCCGGGGTTGTGTGTGGGATGTAGCTGGAGAAGATGGTCGTCACTGGAGAGTGTTCCGAACAGGACAGCAGGAACAGCGAGTGGACATGACGGTCATTGAGCCCTATAAGAAAGTCCTCTCTCATGGAGGTAATGACTACCATAAGTGGAGGGGTAAGAACTGTGACTTACTGAATAAAAAGCTTGAGTTGGAAACTCCGTTACTGGGTACAAAATCCTTCCTGTAACTTTCAGAGACCCTCAGAGTCCTTCAACCTAAACAGATGTACTGTCAATGTGTAGCTGTTGACTGAATAAATGGTCCCTTTGTCCTCTCCAGGTTACCATGGTGATGGCCTCAATGCTGTCATTGTCTTTGCTTCCTGTTACCTACCCAGCAGCAGCATCCCCAACTATACCTATGTCATGGAGCACTTGTTCAGGTGAGTCCGACGCCCTGAAGGGCCCCAGGGTGGATGTTGGGAGGGAAAAGCAACAACAAGAACACCCTGTGATCAGCAGCTGACTGGAAAGTCTACAGTCATGTCCCCCCGACACCCCACATCCTGAAGCATGTCCCTTCCTTGACAGTTGTGTGCCCCCCAGGTATATGGTGGGAACTCTGGAGCTGCTGGTAGCTGAAAATTACCTGCTTGTCCACTTGAGCGGAGGCACGACTAGAGCCCAGGTCCCACCTCTGGGCTGGATGCGCCAGTGTTACCATGCTCTGGACCGGCGGTGAGCCACGGGGCAGCGGGGCTGCCACTCTCTCTGTGCCTTCTCTTTCCCTCTTTCCATTCTTTCTTCTTCCACGTAGCCCCTTCCTCTTCACCTTGTCCCTCTACACCCCTTTCCAGGCCTCCCCTGTCTTCCGTCCTCTCTCGGAGTCAGGGAAATCTAGTCGCAGATCTTGCCTTTCCCATTTACCTGCTGTATGACTTTGGGCAAGTCACTTAGCCTCCCTGGGACTCCATTTCCTTCTCTGCAGAACAGCAACAAGAATACCTTCGCCATCGCGCACGTGTGAAAATCAAATAAATCAGCGTGGCATGTTGCCTGGCACACAGAAGGTGCTCCCTTTGGTCACCATCTCACCATTTATTTCACTTCCCAGGAGCCACTGTCTCTGCCTCTCTTCTCTGCCTGCTTCCCTGACCCGTAAGGCTTTGTTCCATGCGATGTTCCCTTTTCCTCCTTTCTTTCCCCCATCTTCCCTTTGCTCACTTTTTCTTTTTGTTTCTTCCCCCCTCCCCCCCACTGGCCTTCCTCCACCTGGAGTTCTGTCAGTTGTCCTCGTCACAAGGGGAGGGGACAGGGGAGTCGCCAAGGACTTAGGCAAGGGTAGGGCACAGGAGGGAGGTGGGGCAGAGGAGGACTCCAGGCTGAAGAGTTCTGGCAAGAGATTCCTAAAACCAAGGAGCCTTGGGGCACCTGCGTGGCTCAGTTGGTTAAGCTCTGGCCTTGGGCTCAGGTCATGATCTCACAGTTCACAAGTTCAAGCCCCGCATCAGGCTCTGTGCTGACAGCTCAGAGCCTGGAGCCTGCTTCAGATTCTGCTGTGTCTCCCTCTGTCTCTGTCCCTCCTCCTGCTTGCACTCTGTCTCTCTCTCTCTCAAAAATAAATAAACATTAAAAAAAAAAGATCTAAAAAGAAATAAAACTGAGGAGCTTTGCAGGGCTAAACATGATGGGTGGGGCTCAGACTGTGGCCGAGGAGCAGGGACTAGCCCCAACTGCCAGAGAAATCTAGAAACTGCAGAAGTGAAAGCACAGAAGATAGCTGCACCTGATTTTCTGGAATGAAGGTGGGAGAACAGAACAATCTCCTATTCTGCAGCCTCCGGAAAAACCTGCGTGGCCTGGTCGTTGTCCACACCACATGGTATGTGAAGGCATTCTTGGCACTGCTGCGACCCTTCATCAGGTATAAGCTTTGGGGACCAGGACCCGCTCCCATTTTCAAAATCAAGATTAAGATCTTGCCCCACCCTGGCTCCTTCTAGCCTTAACCATGCTATACTTGTCACATGTCCCTTTGTAAGCCTCTCCAGGAGCCCTCTTCCCAGTACAACACACACTTGGCTTATCCTCTCTTTTCAGTTCCAAGTTCACACGAAAGATCCGTTTTCTGAACAGCCTGCGAGAGCTGGCCCAACTCATCTCCTTGGATCAGGTTCACATCCCTGAAGCTGTCAGACAGTGAGTTCCGAGCTTAAGGATAAAAGTTGGGGGTGGGACGTATAAAGCCAATTCCTGTTTTCTTAATGCCTTGGGAGAGATGCAGGGGAACTAAATAAAAAACGATACATATAAGTGCTGAGGCATCCAAGAATAAAGGAATATTCACAGCACCGAATTTAGAGGAGACTGAGATCACCCCTAGAGGTCAAGAAGGGATATGTTGGCAGTGCAAAGGAGAAAACATGTGTTGGGGGGAGGTCCTAGGGGACCTCCAGCTTGACCAGCACCAGATCTTCTCCTTCAATTCTCTGGCTTCTCTCCCCAAACCAGTAGGTAAAATCCAGGTCTTGCTCCTGTACCACCTTTTTGTTTTTCTCTCTCTCCTAGGCTGGACAGGGATCTCCATGGCTCAGGAGGCACCTAGTATAAGACAGGACTCAAGGACCTTAGAACCAAGCAAAGATACTGATCTGCCTATGCCCTAACCCTGAAATATCTGGGCTGCTTCCTAAACCACCTCATCTTCAACCCTAGTGCCACTGGACCTTCACATATCATTGGGGTGTCATTCCTCTCATAACCCTGCCTTCAAAGTTCTGAGGTCCGGAACCTGATCTGCGGGGGGGCGAGGCGACACATCATTTCAGCAGTAGGGGTGCATGTAGGGGTGTCTTGTATGGGAAAGGGCAAGGCTGTGGGTTTTAGTCCTGCTTGAGCTGCAGAACCCTGGGCAAATAACTGCATCTCACTGAGTGTCCTCTTTTCCTCCCCCTTCAAATGGGAGCCCCTGGTCGCCTGTGAAGCTCAGGGTGGGTGGGGCATAACTGACCGCGGCAAGCCCCCCACCCCCACCCCGTCTGTTGGGGGACCAGGAGTCAGCTCCCTACGTATTGAAGAACCGCTGTTTCCTTCTTCGTCACGTCTGCTGCCTGTGAGCCTGGGAAGGAGCGCTTTCAAAGCCTGTAGTTTCGTCCTGTCTCCTGTCTCGTAAACTCAGATCCGTAGCGGTTAATAAACTGCGATGCACGATGTAAGCTCGGCTCCGAGGAAGTGCACTGCCTGACCAGACCCTTACGTCACAATTTGCGTCTGTTGGTTCCGCAGGAGTTCTGGCTGCTGGAGTTCCTGGGATTTTAGCTCAGCCCCTCGGGCTGCGCTGAGAGGGCCTGGGGGAGGGGCGTGGCGCGCGGTAGGAACCCCACGGGCCGCCTCGGTTCCAACGACCCCTGGGTAGAGAGTGGAAGGGAGGGAAGAAGTGGGAGACCCGGCCTCCTTCGCTGGCCTCCTCCTCAGCCGCCCACTGCCCGGCCCCATGGTCCCCGCCGCCGGCGCGCTGCTCTGGGCCCTGCTGCTGAGTCTGGGGCCCCGGGTGGCGGGGGCCCAAGGCCTGACTTCCACCGAGTCGCAGCGGGTAAGTTTCCGCTCCGGGGTCCCGATGTCCCGCAACTACCGGACCACCCCCCGGACCGGCGCTCCCAAGAAGATGAGGGTAACAATGGAGGACGAGGATGACCTCGTGGCCCGTGCCGACCGCCTGGCAGGCCCGGCCGCGGCCGAGCTTTTGGCCTCCACGGTGGCCACAGGCGTCAGAAAGTCAATTGTGTCATCGCCGGAGGAAGATGAGTCTTTGGAAGAGGGGGTTGTGATCAACGCCAGAAAGAGTAATGTGAGCGGAGAGGCTCTCCGAGCGACTTCCAATACGGCGAGGATGCCCAACCCAAGGTTTAAAGCAAATACCCAGGAGCCCGAGATCAGGATGTCTTCTTCAGACCAGCGGGCCAACACGTGGATGTCCACTGAGGACTTGGTTCATCCCGACAGTACCATGAGCCAGTGGTCAACAGCAGGGTCCACCCCGAGACCGTGGCCACACCCCTCACCAACAGCCATGCCGCCAGCAGAGGACCTGCGGCTGGTTCTCATGCCCTGGGGCCCATGGCACTGTCACTGCAGGTCAGGCACCATGAGCCGGTCCAGGGCAGGCAGGCTGCAAGGCCTTTCCGGGCGCCTTCGAGTTGGAGCACTGAGCCAACTCCACACAGAGCACCGGCCTTGTACCTACCAGCAGTGTCCCTGCAACCGGCTTAGGGAGGAGTGCCCTCTGGACACTGGTCTCTGCCCTGACACCAGCTGCACCACTCAGACCACCACCACCACCACCACCACTACCACCACCACTACCACCACCACTACCACTCCCATACCGCCCCTCAGCTCTAGACTCAGACCCACCCCCTTCCTCTTCTTTGGCCCCAGCCCCAGCCCCAGCCCCAGTCCAGCCCTTGCTTTTTGGAGACGAGTCCGGATCGGGCTGGAGGATATTTGGAACAGTCTGTCTTCAGTGTTCACAGAGATGCAACCAGTAAGTGTTTGGTGATAGCCAAGGACCTTTGTTGATGAAAAGTCCTGACATCCAAAATCCTGTTGGGTCAACCAGCCGGTGTGCTTCCATGAACTGTCATCTGTTTGGTCATTCATTCATAATATACTAGTTATTCACATTATTGTTAGCCATTGATTCCACTCATTTCTTGGGCAACTGCTGGTTGGTTAATGGGTAACATGTATGGGTCGTTAGAGAATTATTGACCAAATTGTGAAGATTGTAGGTATATCAACAATTCTAGATGCAGACAATAGATGTGGAAGATAGAAATCATTCTCAGCTCATGAATGCAGTCTAATAGTAACAACAGCTAATATTTAAGGTCTTACTATGTGCACTTTACCTGGATCGACCCTCACAACAATGCTGTGAGGTGTTATTCCGTTACAGAGGAGGAAATGGAGGGCATTGACACCAGTGCCGAAGCCCTCCACCACCACTATCCCAAAGAACTCCTGGGATGATTTCCAGTAACTTAAGAATTCTTCGGGAAGGATAGTCCTCTGCATTACCAAATGAACTACCAAAGGTTCTGATTGACTTGATAAAATATTCTCAATTGAAAGGATTTCGGGACCTTTGTGGGAGAGAGGAAGGACACTAAAATAGTATGTACGGTCAGTCATTTTGCAAGTTTGTTTTTGTCCTTCTCCCTGGGTATCCAATACCAGTGATTCAATATAAAGAAGCCTAAGTAGGGGGCAGTAGCGTTGAGGAAATGAGGGCTTATGGGGCGAGGGAGATGAAGCAAGGAAGGGAAAACATAGATGTGGTTCTAACATTTCCCCTCTTCTCTTCTGTTTTCTTACCCAGCTAGAGAGAAACCGCAGGTAATGGCCACTTCGTCCTCAAGAGAAGGTGTCAGCATCTCAACCTCCCCACCCTTTCAATCCCAGAACCTACTGGATATTTTTAGTACAGAAAAAATTAGAAAAAATATTGGTCTTGTGTCTCTTTACAGACGTATCTGAGGGTGGAGGCCAGAAATCTCTTCAACCTTAAAACTGAACTGTGTACCTAACACCATCGGGCCTGATCCCTTCCCTTGTCCTCCAGCATATTTCACCCCCACCCCATACCCCAGGATAAAATGTTGATGTTGCTCCTCTTCCTCCTTTCCCAAGTTTTTAGTGATTTTTTTAAAGACGAAAAATCTCAGATGAAAGCCAAGAAGAGGGAACAGGAAGAACAAGGAGGTGAGCTCTTGGAAAAGGATGGTAGTCTTCTTATCTTCACAGTACTTGGCCTTCTCTCCTTGGAAAGGGTGATGTTGGCACAGAATTCCATGTCGGCTACTTCCTAGGAGTGACATCAACCATATCTATCCTTTGACCCAACACACACCTGTAGTGATCACTCTGCAACTATTTTGCTTACACGTTTATTTGAAAAATGTAGTTAAAAGTCCAACACATTTTTAATATAAATTATGACTCTTGAACCCATTGCCATCACTCTTAAATATTGTTAAAGTGATGGTAGCATACACATTAGAAAAGGTAGCTAAAGGCAAAAGAACACCAAAGAAGACTGTGTCCAAAGAAAAGACATCAGAATAAGGCTAAAGATCAGGGTATCCTGAGTCCACGAGCCCCCCCCATCTTTCTACCCTATCCTGTTAACCCTTCAGATTGAGTATAACCCTCAGGCCATTAAGCTACTTTAGGACAAGATGAGCTACTTTCAGAGCAACTAGCTAGATTTGAACAGTAAATTGGGAATGTATGACCAATCTTAGACCCTGAAAAGGGCAGGAAATACACTGAAATGGAAACACAATTAGAACCTGTCACTAGAGGAGGGGCACACTGGATGGATGGTGGACTCAGCAGAGTGGATCCTAGTTCCCACATTCCTGACCCCATCACCATCAAACAGGATGCTGCTTGTTACGGAGCTAATGAGAGACCCCCACCCTCTCAGTCTCTGAGCAGGCGGGAGCTCACCGGTTTTGTCCTGCCTTCCTAACCACCCTGCAAGGAAGGGGACAGAAGAAACACCTGAGAAAACAAACTGCCTAAAGACCCTGTTCCTGCATTATTTTCCCACCTAAAGCAGATTCTTCAGCCAGATGGGGAGTGGGACCTGGTCTTCAGACGAAACTCCCTGAGTCTTATTCGTATCTGGTTCTAGGACCAGGGCACAGAAAGAGAGCTTAAAGTTTGCAGAGGACACACCGGGGTGTCTGTGGCTCTCTCTATTGCCTCTTCTCCCTCCCTCTCCCAATCTCACCAAACCCTGTTCCTGCCTCCATACTACAGGAACCCCTTCTCCACAAACAAGAACAGAGAAGGGTAGTAGGCATCGCATCCACCGGAGACATGAACCCATGTGAGCAGAGCAATACCCTGAATAAAGAGCCTGTTTTAGAGATGATGTGCGGCCCCGTTGAGCCTGCTTTCCAGAGGGCCTAGTTCATCTATGGCTCAGGCTTCAGATGAATAATGAAATGGGTGTAGGGTGAGGAAAACACTTTACAGAGAGATACCTGGACTCTTGAGCAGTGGCCCTCAACTAGGGGTGATTTTTGCCCCCGGGGGGAGACATGTGGCAATACCTGGACATTTTTGGTTGTCGTAACTAGGATGGGCCAGATGTGCTAGTAAATATCCTAGGATGCACAGGATAGTCCCCCATTACAAAGAATTACCCAACCCAATGTCAAAAGTGTCTGGGTTGAGAATCCATGCACTAGAGGTGTCCCCACTCCCATGTGGTAAGGACTGGAAGATCCCTAAACTTACAGACGATTGTTTTCAACCAACCACTCCTCCCATCTTCAGTGGTTTGGAGGTCCACTCAGAGACCTACCTCCTAGTCTTGCAACATTCTGGGTTTCTCTCCAGATCCCTCTTTCTCCTCACCTGGGCCAGCAGGGAGATTGGCAGAGGGCAGGCAAGGTCCCCAAGAGTTAAATGGAATACCATCAGGTTAAGATCCACCTCTAACCTAGGTCTTAATCAATGGGAAACAAAAACGTTCCTAGTGGGGATGGGGTCAAGGGTAGAGGTAGTAGAAGGAGGGAGGTCATTAAGAGAACTCATCTTAAAATTTTAATTAAAGATGTTGGGGGACTCACAATGCTACAGAAACAGGGTTAGAGGCCTAATTAGAGAAAGACCCTGGTAGTTGCAGAGAGATACTGAGGGGCTGTGAGCTTAAAGTCTGAGATCTAAAGAGAAAGAATAGACTCGGCAGTGGTCACCCTTCCCTCCTCTCCCTGCTTGACGTCTGCTTCAGTTCATTCCAGGAGGAAGAAGAAGGGCAGGTAAGGAGCTTCTCAGCAAAAAGCTGGCTTCAGCTTTGGGAATCTCACTCACCTACCCCATTTAAGGAGTTCCAGGTTAAGAGTTTAAAACAGATGGCACCTAGACCGTCATTCAGGAGAAGGGAACTTATCCTGGGTTCCCAGAAAACTCCTATCTCAGATCTGAGAGTGTCCGGGGCTTCAGCTGAGCTCCTCTGGCCAACCAGTAGTCACTTGGTCAGTCCTGCTGCCTTGACCCCATCTCCAGGAGGGGCTATAGCCAGAGGGAATAGAGGGAGTCCAGCCCCCAAGCCTTCTGAGGCACTAATAGGCAGATAGGGAAAAGAGGGACCCGGGGGTCACTGGTTCTAGGAGGGAGCAACATCTCTTCTGGGCTGGAC